TATCACGATTATTTTAATATAGATCTGTTTATATATATGTTGGAGTAGTATGTATTTATTTATTTTTAGATAATTAGTAGAGCCAATAAAATATTGAAATTACAAGAATCAAAAAAATTAGTTTACAAAATTGATGAAAATTTGTTAGTTTTCGTTTTGAATTCCACGTGAACGAAACAAAGGTTGGGTTAATTGTTTTCCCTAAAGTATATTGAGTTTGAAATCCAAAATTAATAACGCATTTGTGATTCAGAAAAAAAAAATTGAACCAAAACACTACTAATATTTTTATGAGGTTTTATTTCAAATCTAGCGCTGAAGATATTCGTGCAACGCACGAGTGTAGAAACTAGTTATTATAAAAGCACGAATAATTTATGATAAATGTTGAACGACTAAGATATCCTTCTAACTTTGATAGACTTTTATACCCTTAAATATTTGAGTTAAATGTGAATATAATTGTAATATTTAAAATATTACCCTAGGATGAAATTCTTTTCCAATGTAAACTCGACATACCACGTGTAAATTCCTACCCTACCAATATCGAGAACTTCTATTCCAACTGAAAAGTGGCAACGTTGGGAATAATTATATGAATTTTATTTTGAACAAACTTCTAAGCTCTAATACCAACCTAAGTTCCAACTTTTCATCCGTATGAGTTTATTTAAAGTGGAAGTTTAATTATTTTTATAATGTATAGAGATAGACTTAATTATTTTTCTACTATTTAATAATAGTCATTTAGTTACTTTCCTAATATACAGAACTTTAAAATTAACTAAAATTTTAGTTATTAAATATTTTCCTATTTGAAAATCCTAGGAAACCCTAATATTTATGACTAAAATCAATTAAATATATTTAGAAACTTATATGACGTCATCTAGAAGAAGAATAAGACAACTAAATCCCAATTCAATTCAGTTCCAAATTACAATTGTGATACTTATTTCTATCAAATAGACGAATTTCACGTGATTATTGAATTCTTAATTACGCAATATATATAAAGCAAACAATGGTTAACACTATAAGTACGTTACCCAAAAAAGAACTATATATAAGAATATATTATAATAATTTAAAAATATAATTTAAAGAATTTAAAGTCAAGTATGAACTTTTTCATTTTTATGTTTCTAGAATATTTGGCCTTGCCAATAGAGATTTTATATTGGACAAAATTATAATTTAATTATTTTTCTAATATTTAGAACTTTTAAATCAACTAAAATTTTGTTATTAAATATTTACTTATTTGAATTATGTAGGAAGTTCAAATATATAGGACTTTAAAAATCATTCAAATTTGACCTTATATAAATTATTTTTATATTTTTAATTATGTAACATAACTATAATACTTTTCATATTATTTTATGTATTTAGCACTTTAAAATCAACTTTTATATAAGAGAAGATATATTCATTATGAAATTTAGAGACAGTTATTAAATTGTGTAAGGCGTTAAAAAGAAATATTTCTATAATCCAGGGTAAATAAAAAAAATTAAAAAATATTCCCAAAGTTTCTGACGTACGTAAATAGAAAACTAAGCCAACTAACAATAGAATTCTAATGTAAATAACTCTAGGATTCTAGGATTTTTTTTAGGAATTTTAGGAACATATTAATTACCTTTTTCAGTCAATTGCTTCTTAAGAAGTTTCATATCTGCTTGATAATTGACACATTTTGTTAGGGAATGTGTTTTGGTGTTGTATCCAAAAAAATAATTTTCATCTCTAGGATTTTGGTTCTTTTATACCTTCTACGCGGTAAGTACTCCGAAAATCTTACTTCGATGAATCTCCATACCAATGTGCATTGGTGTAGCACACTAATTTCTACCCAACTTAGTATTATGGAGAAAAAATTCTTTCACATGGTCATTATCTCCCTCCCTTCTTAGATTGTGTAAACAAAATACAAAAATTCTATTGAGAAATTAATATATCTTTCGCACATCATTTGCATGAAAGACGATGCTTTCGTTTTGAATCTCAAAAAATTAATTTCAAATTCTTTCATAAATAATTGACTTAAGAATCTCGTGCAAATCACGAACGTAGAAATTAGTGTGTATATGTATATGATATGTATATTATATATTAATATATAAGAATATATATTTTCAGCTACTATTTTAGAGGACGGCTATACTGCGGTGTAGATTTTCCATGCAAACATAAATTACAAGTTACATGAAAGGGAAATGGGCTTTATTTATTTTTGTGGTACTGAGAGATATTGGGCTTTAGTAATACTTTATTTATTTTTTCTAGTCATATTCATAAATAATCGGTCATATTTATTATTTATTTTTTTAAATCATTATAAATAATTACACATATATAATATATAAGGTATTTATATATTATACCTTTATCGATCATTTCTAATTTAAGAGGTTGGGTGCACGGCTACTTAGGTTAATTCTTCTTTGTTATAGAAGTTGGCCCTTATTCTTGACCCATCAACAAATGGGTACCATATTACAAGTTGATACCGCCTCCGAAATCCAAAGGCTGGCTTAATTCACAAGCCAGCATTTTATTGCAGAAATAGTCCCCTTTTTTTCTCTCTCTCAGCGCAAGTCTTCTTTTTCCTTCTCCCAAGACAACTCGTCTCTCTCCCGTGAATTCCAGCCCTTCCCGGCTGCCCTAAGTTCATCGTCGCCTGCGCAGGTTTAGTATTTTTTATCTCATACTGTAACTTTTATGTAATTATTTAGTTTTAGGTTGTAAAAATCCCATATTTTGAGGAGGAAACGAACTTGCTACCATGAACTACTCAATGATATTTGGTGAATATTAGAGAATTCAACTGCCTAGCTGTACGGGGTTCTAGTATTATTCCGAGGAAGAACGTAGGATACTTTGTTTATTTTTGTATTTGGTGTTATTACTTATTAGTTGTTCATAATTTAAGAAAGACAAAATTGCACTTTTTGGTACATAGATTTAGGGGCCGTGCTTTTTGGTGCAGTTAATACCCTAATTTTAACATTTACGTATAAAAATGGGATTTTTTTTCCCATTTTGATAACTGTGGTGCTCAAGCCAATTTGCACGCGCCTCGACTAATTCCACGGGGTAACCTTCTATCTCTCGCCAACACATGTACTGGGTAACTGTCCATCAAGGCTTGGACAAATGCGAAGAAATCACCTTGCGTTTCTGTGTAAAAATGTGATATTTTTTTGAAGTTTTTAACTTTTGGGTGGAAAAAATTCATGTGTCTTGCAGATGTTTGGCTTTTAACAACTAAAGCCTGTTTTCAACTTTATTGTGTATAAAACTCATCAATTGACATCAAATCGCTAATATCATAATTAGGAAGAAAAAAAAAGTAGGACAAAACACATGCCCTCTAAAAAGTAGGTAGCTAAAAAAAATGCAATTTTGCCTTATAAGAAATGTATCCAGCACATTATTCTAGTTTTCTCTCTCATTGGACACTAACGAAAGTTTCTTTTCATTATTTTCTTTATGAGTACATGTACACATAGAGAAGTTGTAGCAAGTATAGCAAAGTTAATGTTTTTACCTATTTTAACTGTAGATGTACATCTGTTTTATGCAGATTTTCTTGTTTATATTTTGCTTTTACATAGAAATTTTATTCAAGATGCTTGATCTTATTGTAGGTTACTTGATTCAAAGTTTGTTAGTGTTGCTACACCAGATCGTATCTTATATTTCTGATTTCCATAATGGTAAGTACAATTCAAACTTCGCTCCAATATTTCTGCCATATCGTGTCTAATTCGCTTTATCTAATTTCCTGACCATGTGCGTAACTTAAAATGGACGGTTTGTTGGAATCTCCCTTGGGTGAACTTTATCTAACCTTGAAGCTGGTTACTTGACTTATTTGATTCAGTTATTCTTTCTTTCTCTATATACATTGGCTAGAATCTGGCATTTTTACAGCCTACCTATATATGTCTGCCACTTCCTTCCTAGGAACGGTAATGGAAAGTCTTCTTTTGGAGATGAATCTGAATGTAATTGGTGTATACATATTACATAGGCTGATTTATGGGTGTCTGTTGCTTATATAGAATGACTAAAGAAGAACCAGGAACACTAGGCCCCCGCCCCCAAAAAAACCCCATAGGATTAGGATCCATGTCCGAGACGAGATAGTATTGAAGAAACACTATATTTGTCATATGGATGGAGACTATAGGGGGTTGTGCAATGAAACAAAGCTCCAAATTATTTAGTTGGAGGCTTCATTATCAAAGTGGGAAAACACTTGACAAGAAGGATAAACAAGAACATGCATACAACAGAAGTTATATATATTAATGGGGACTGGGGGTGGGGGGAGGGGAGGGGAGAAAGAGATAGAGAACTCTCGCCTTTTTATGCTGCCAGATGACTTCACAAAACCTTTATCTTAGCGCCTTGAGATAGAAAACAATGAGAATGAAGATAGAAACTTTAAAGTGCTTGGCGTATAATTAGTAACGGATCAACATGCTTAATTGCTTGATATATACAAGTAACTTGGTATAACATAGTAAATTAGAACGATGGGATGACAAAACATGTTACTTCAGGTCCTTTAGACGCTGATACTGATTATAAGAAAACAATCGAGATGGGCGGGATGCAAGGTGAGGGACAGGAAGAGTAACGACTGTTAGTGATGGAAGGTGGG